TTGGGCGGGGGAGTTGAGCGGGACGGACGGGGCGGGCGGGAAGGGCGCGGCGCGGCGCGAAACGAGTGGGCGCCCGCCGGCTTCCTTCTGGCGCGTTCTGCTGCCCGGGCACCCGGGCCGCGGCGAAACCGACCGTAGGATATCGAGATATCGACACGCGCGGTGCCCGTCGCGGGCGGCTGTCTGGCTTCCCTGTTCGATGCGTTCGTTACTATCGACTTCGCTGGCGCACACAACGCGCGCCGCCCGGGGCTCGCTCGACGCCGCTGCTGACGTCACCACCGCCGCAGTGGCCGGCCGATGCTCTCTACGTATGCCGATGGAAAATCATCAATTGATGTTATAATCGACTAATAATAAGCTTAGGCGTGCGTAGCCTAAAATAAGAGGGCATATTTACATTTATAAGCCCATTAAGCGTTTTTCCTTACTACTTATGGTATACTTTTAGTAAATAAATAAAACATATAAGGAGAGAATTACATTATGACTTAAATGATACGATTAATAAATAGTATTGCTTTTGTAACTAAATAATTTTATTTAGGATTTAACACTTAGCGGCTGAACAGTAAAGTGTAATACAATACAAATCAAACGTCCTTTATCCATTAAAACATACTAATTAACGAAAAAAAAAAAAAAAAATGTTGAGGCACACAACACAAGTACATTCGCGTAGTGTCAAAGTACGGATTCATGCCCACGCACTCGAGTTGCTTCGTACAGCCTTTCAATAACTGCATTTTTACCACAATCACAACTTGTAGAACCATTTAGAATGTAGCGAAATGGCTTTACGAGCCTCTTTCCGGAATGAACAAAATCATTCCTTAAATTGACAGGTCAAAAAACGAGGAAAATTCGGGATTGAGACGGTTACGTAAAAACAGTTTTGTGTTTCATTACGTAATTCTAAGAGGCCCCATTCAAAATTTTCAGAGGGCACCCCCTCCCCATGCACATGTCTTTGTTACGTTAATTGGTGATCCATAATTAATTAATTATTTAATTTTAATGAAGATTTTTAAAGTGATACTTCTTTTCCAGAGAGAGATACAGTTCAGAATTTGAACCCCAGGTGCGCAACATGAAGTGTAACTCTCTTTAGGGACTAAACTACGAGTCGTTGGTGAAAAATGATCATGAAGTTTGAATTTATCCTGTTCATAAACAATGATGAAAAACGTAACTTGATTCGTTCCACAGGAGCCTACCAAATTAAATTTTAAGAAATCTGAGGCGGAAAAGGATGAATGCGATGAAAAGAAAAGAAAACAAAAAAAGTAAATATTTTGTATATGAACAATTTTGCCAGTACCGTTGGCGGTTCATCATAACTACGAATTTCGCGAGAGTATAACATCCATTATAGGATTTCAAAATTATTTGTGATACATTAAAAGATATGTAAATTGTAAATCTGAAATACATTTGAAACGTATCATTGATAAATGATGCTCCTGCCCTGTCCGCTATGCTTGGCATAGTCGGTGTCTCTCTGGTTTCGTGCAACCAGGCAAACATGGCGATTGACGTATTGCCA